TCATCCTTCATTCTGTCCTTCTTCCTCTCTATACGTTTGATGCCCCCTCTCCTCTTTTCCTCTGCCCTATCCCTACACTATTGCTCCCCGGCATGGTGAGGTGTTTTATGGGTTGTTTGTTAAAGCGTAGAAGCATAACGGGCTCCCCCTTTCTCCCCTGTTTCCTCTTCGCTGCCTCCCCTGGCCCATGGGGAATCGTTGGAGTGCAGCTTTTTCCTTCTTTGCCACTCTTCTGTTGCATGATTTAGAAGCAGTGGCAGCGTGATGCATGCATGTGTGTGTGTGCGCAGTGTGACACACACACACATACACAGACTCCCCAGAGCACTTAATCACTTTTCTCCTGCTATTTCTCATTCTTTCACCCAAAAACAGCAGAGAGCATATTCACATACAGCAGCACAAACACTTACCTAAATGCACATTTAATACAGAATGTCACACATTTTTTTCTCACATGCAGACACACACACACACACACACACACACACACTTACACTAGGGAGGCGGTGCATTGCTCTGTCTGAACACTGCATTGGTTTCCCCTCCATTATCCTGCGATTGGACAGTTAATGTTGCAGGAGGCGAGAGAAATGGAGGGAGATAGAGGCCTATAGCTTCAACATTTACTTTCCATTTTCCACGCACACGCACAGAGTAACAGAGCTTGTTCACTCACACATAAACAGATTCAAATACAGGCACATACCACCACACCAGAAAATATGCAGATTTCCTGCAGCCTCTCCTAAGACACAGCCAATTATTGTACAGCAATCTCTCTGTCGTTTATCAGAGCTCCACACCTGTAGTAAACATGTTTGGCTCTCAACCACATGATTGTGTTATCTCATTATATACAGTATACCATAGGAAGAAAATGCAGTGGGTGAAATCAATGTCATATTTATAGGAATATGTTTATGATTTCAGTGGAGCTGTGATGTTTGATGTGTTTAAGTAATATGCTTTACATCAGACCTCTTGCTTGGAATCATTAATTTGGACAACTTAATCATTAGCAGAGCTGACAAGTTACTACATGCAGGGTTGGTTTGAAATGTGTATCCAAATTGAAGATAAGAATGACTTTTTGATATTAGAAAACTGAATATATTTGAGTTTGATTTGTTTTGTTAGCTTGTAAAACAGCTGCATCTTACAATTATTTTCATTCTCAATTCATCTGCCATTCATTATGCTCTGTATACTAATTAACTGTAAAGTTTAAAAATGTCAAGTAGTTGGAGCAGCAGTCCAAAAACGGAAAAATATTTACAATAATATAAAACAGAGAAAAGCAGCCAAATCCTCCCTGTGGATAAGCTGGAACTAGAGAATTTTATTTTTTTTTGTGTGTAAAAAAAATGACATGAATCATGAATTGATTCTCAAAATACTGTAGCTGATAACATGTCTAGCTTTTCTGGAGCAGGGTCTAAAAAAGGCAAAGTTGCAAAATCTCTTTAAGAGCATTCTAATCCCCCAGCTGCAGTACTGCATATTAGATTTCATTTAGTATGAACAATAAAGTCAGTGTGACAGTTATTAATGATTTTATTCAGAATGTAAAGCTTTCGCCTTTCATCCTCACTTGCCCACAGAAACGTCTTGAATGGACTCTAATCCGCTCTCTGTCTGTGATAAGTGCTCTCTCAGCAGTTTCCCTCATCATTGTACTGTCTGATATGATCTAATGAGCCACTGAAGTGTAGGGCACACCACCCACTCTCCAAACTGATAAACACTGCTTACTTATGTACAGGTTGTGTCAGCCATTCACAAGATAGTCCTGATTACTCTCAGAGCAGGAAATCTTCACTTCATTGATGTCAGAAGTTTTATCTGAGGCATTGGGTACATTTAGATGCACATTAGTGCCCTGGTGTTAAGTCTCACCCTGGTTTTAAACGTATTCAGGATATGGCATTTACATGGAAGATGAGAAACATGGTTATTTCATATTCCTGTATACATGATCATAGGAATATCCAGGTTTCTGATCGCCTGCCTGCAGGTGTGCCTTTGATTCCTGAAGATCTCAGGCGCTCATTTCCAAAAGAAAGAGTGACCTCAATGGTTGATAATGAACATAGGTTGGTTTCTGGCTGACTGAACTGAAGCTGTATTCACCACAGTTCTGGATTTAGCTTCTCCATCTCATTGCCGGCAACAGAAAATGAGAGTGACAATAACATTTACCATATGATCAGCATAACTGAAGTCAGAATTTCCCCTTTTGATCATTATCATTATTTACGGTCATTAGTACAGTGAAGTATCATGTGACTTCATGTGTTGCATGGTTTCTGGTTCATGGTTTCTATCAGAATGCTCCAGCTAACTTATCCAGGTTTCTTAAAACCAGTAAATCCCGGTAAAACGGGGATACTTTGAAAACCTGATCATAGGATACTCGTGGGCTCATAAGCAGACTCATTGGTGAAGGCTAAACACTGTGACACTGAGATAGAAACAATTCAAAGTGGTTGGTTCTGTCTCTGTCCTGTTTCATTTACAATAACAATTGATCAATCGACAGAACAACTATTTTGTTAAGCGACTAATCGTTTAAGTCATTTTTCAAAGAAATTTGTTATTTTTAGTCTCTCTGCTTCTGTTTTACACTATTTTAAATTGAATATATTTGGGTTTTTGAAGAGTTGATTGATTAAAACTTGATGACTCCATAATAATCGTTAGTAGCACCCCTATCTTCAGAGGTCAGTTACACTAAGACGCACATTTAGCAGCTTTTCATGTTCAGTCCTCTTATCTCCCAGGAACGTCCTTTTTATCCTCTTCTTGTTTGGTTCCTCCAGACCATTTCAGGCCATCTGGACATATCACCGTGTGTGCAGGGATACACCATGCCAGAACTCTTTTTGAAATGTACATGTCGGCAGAGCAGAGACCTCTATCGGAAAGGAGAGCAAAGTAGACCATGACATTCAAGACAGTCAAAGAGCAGAGGGCAAAGACGCAGAGAGGCAGGAAGAGAAAGAGAAACAAGGAATGAGAGACTCTACAGACCGTTGCCTGGCAACAAAACATCATTCAGCAGAATTGTGTTTGGGGGATAAAAAGGAAAAGGGGACGTGAAGACGAATAGATTGGAGGGGGTTTGTAGATGTTCACAAGGGTGAGAAGAAGGTGGCAATTCACTCAGTTGATTGCAGCAGCACAGAATGGCTAAACACTTGACTCATTACTTGTGTCGAAATGTCAGAACTTAATTAACTGTGAAATACATATTAAATAATATCTTGCTTTGTGTAAGTGTAATATGTATGTTCTATAACAAAGAGTCATACATCAGTCAAATCAAAAAACAAACGTCTGTATTGTGTTTCTAACAACATGTAAATGTGGACCTGAGAATGGACTGCAGCCTACACACACGCCCAAGGAATGGCAAACAAAAAAAATCCATGTCACATATAACAAATTTCTATTATTTCCAAACTGTTTTAATTGAATTTGCACTGTAACACTTTCCCAATATTTGAGTGAAAGAAAGTTACAGGAATAGTTCAGCATTTCTGGAAACGTAATTCCTTTCTTGCAGAGAGTTAGACCTAAAAGTGTATCAGTGTTTTCATCTGTTCGTCTGTTAAACCAGCCAATCAATTAAAACACAATATCTTGTTTGTTTAATCTATAAAATGTAAAAAAAAATTGGTTTTATGTGGATTACAGGGACATCTCAGTAGCACTCTTTGCAAACTCTGTCACTTTGCAAAATTCAGCAGAAAAAATCCACGCATTTCAGTCAGATAACTCATGTTTGAATTGTTTATTTCACTATAACATAGTTAGATTTTGGCTTCCTAACTCCAACCTCATCACTCATCGCAGATATGTTTACATAGAGATATTGGGGATTGATGAGCACATACCTTAAACCGCCTAGCCAGGGTATAAGTGTATGGTGGAGTGGTGGTGGTGGTTATCCATCCAATAGACCGACTGCTGCAAATAGCATGGCTGAAATGAAAGTTTTGACTCTTTGAGGTTTATATATTATCAAATCACAGAGTAATATGAAGTACTGAGGTTACAAATGGACCAGCCATTACCTAAATCTTATTTAACTCTCTGCAAGAAAGCCAGTTAGCGTCCAGTATTTCACAAAGTGTCGAACCATTTCTTGAATAGTCTAGTGCAACATTTAGGAAGATCTATTGGCAGAAATATTTGCATAAATACATTTTCATTAGTGTATAATCACCTGAAATAAGAATTGTTTTTGAGTTGACGGCCGCCATGTAGTACCACCATGTTTCTATGTTTATTGTTTCTCCTTCAGTAGCCCAGAATGGACAAACCAAAACTGGCTCTCAATAGGGCTGTTTGAGATTTTCACTCTTTTTGTAGCCACCATAGTTTAGAAAGGGTAAAGCGAGGAAGTTGCAATCTGCAGATACAGCGCTAGATTCCACTTAATCCTACACACTGGTCCTTTAAGTTGTATGTAGTTATACAGGATACATTCTGTTCTCCTCCCCTGCCCTCTCTTGTTTCTCTCACTCTTCCACTATCATTAACTGTCCCATTTCGCTCTCATAATGTCTCCTCTCCAATGCTATAGTAGAGAGAGGTGAGTCAGCAAGAGACAGATAATTGGGCCGATAAGTAGAGGGTGGCAGATGTGAGAATTGAAAAAAAAAAAAAAGAGAGATTATAAAAACAGGTTTTTACAGCAAGGGGAGTTGGAGGAATCATTGCAAAGACTCGAGTAATTATTGATGTGAAGTGACGAGAAGTTGGTAATCTACACAAGGGAAGACTGCTGAAGACAGATATGTTTGTAGTGTAGTAGGACGCTGCTGTTGTCACATGGAGGTGATCTGTCTGCAATGGTTCCTCCTTTGTCCGTGATGATAGCCAACTCTAATGTATTTATGACCTGCTTATTACTGTCTGCCACAAGTCATGGTTTGTCAGATGTCTAATTTTAAATATGTCTCCCTCTCTCTGTCTCTCTGTCTCCCTCTCAGCTAATTTCCAGTGACGCAGATGGGGCCATTCAGAGGGCAGGACGCTTCAGGGTGGAGAATGGCTCGTCAGATGAGGTACAGTATACAGTAATACACTTTTGTGCACACATGCATCCAATTTATCCACTGACCCCTATGTTGCTCCCACTAACCTCGATGAATGGACAAAATATCAGAAATTATGGTTATTTTTGAGGACATAGCTTTTTTGTATTTAGAATACATAATATGAAAGTGGAATTGATTTTCTCATGTAACTCCCAGCAAGAAAGCAAATGTGTTAAAGGTGTGCAAATTAGATTTTTCCCAAAGTTATTTCCCAAAACATTTTTTAATTATTCCTTGACTGACTTGTGCAGCTGCCATTGTGATTTACAGCCCAACCTGGGAGTCATGAGTCATCTTACTTGACTTTTCCCCCCATCTTTGCTTTTTACTTGTTAAACACAGAATTGTTTACTTTTTCGGGTTGCTCAAAATTATTCAAATTAGGCAATCTAAGCCACTTGGAGGGGAAAATCATTCTAGTGTTTACAACTCATAAACATATGCCACCTGTGATTAGGGGTTATTAAATTAATTGTATCCGTTGCAAAAATTATATAAACTGGCAAAGGGGTAAAGTCTAAAAAATCAGATTTTTGATACTGTATAAAGTTTAAAAATATGTATAGCCTATATCTCCATTACCCTAATGTACTCCTTTGCTTTTGTCTCACATGTTGGCATGATTTAGGATGTCATGTTATTTAAGACAAAGGGGCCTCTTTAAAAACCCTCCCGTTTTGAATTGAGAATATTTACTGTACATCCTCCACGATGCTTTACATCATGGTATAATAATACCAGCATAAAGACTGACTGTAGCTCAGATGTCCTGCCCTTTATTGCAGGGCTCCATACTGCTTCATAGTGTAACCGTTTTCCACAGAGAAGACTGCTGTGACTCAAGCTGTGACCATCATGATGACAATGTGGCGTGTGTGCATTTGTGTATATGTGTGTGTGCAACAAACAGACTTTGGACTACACTCCGGGAACCTGGAGGAGAACCGATGTCCATCTGGAGAATCCAGAGTACCACACCAGATGGTTCTTTAAATACTTCCTGGGAAAAGGTCAGTGCTGCTCTGTTGTGCTCTGTTTAAAAAAAAACATACATGGAGTAAGTGTGAGATAAAGGAATAAATACAGGGGGTGAGGCTGAGGGAGAGCCTACAAGCTGGCTCCACAGCATGCTGCAGAAATAAAACATCCTCTGAATTTCTTCCTTGGTCCACAGGATGCTTCTTATCTTATGAAGTCAGCCTTTTCCTCATGCTGCACCACTCTTCATTCAAGGCCAAAACTTGTTAGCATCCAGCCATATCCCCACTGAGAGTCTCAACTACACTCTAATCCTATACACCACCCAGGGAGGATGCCCATGGAGGACATACAGCCTCACCACCACCAGACAGAGCAAAGGCTTGCCTCCAACAGATAACGCAATTAAGATTGGACTGTTGGCTTCTGAAATGAGCCTAGCGCTGTGCAGCACGGTAGCAAGAGCCATTAATAGGAGCAGCCTTGGAGATAGTTAAAAGAAATACATTAGAATTGGTCACCTGTTCCTTAACCTTTCTGACCCTCATCATCTCGCCATCCTCATTAACACCCTGCTTGTTCTCAAACTCACAGTGTAGGCGGGCACAGCAAGTTGTGCAACAAAAGATCATTGTGCGGGTTTCTTTACCGTGACTCGAATCAGGAAGAATGCCCTCAGCTGAAAGGTTGAGTTAAAGGACAGAGCCCGAGATGGATGGAGATAATTGTGAAGGAAAGTTAGGCAGCAAAAAGTCAGCGAGTTGAAGAAAATAAATACATTTTTTCCTCTAAGCCGGGGTCTAATCATGCTATGGCATGGGCAGTTTAAAAAGAGCCATGTCTCCAGAAAGTTGGCTCAACCTGTTTGGACTGCAGCTGAGCCATCTGTGTCTCACAGCCTGAACAGAGCTGACTGCATAGTACAACACAACACATTATGAACTCCAGGCCAATTATTCTAACATAAGCACTTCCTGTCTGATGGAAAGTCCAATACAATGACTTGAATTCTCAATTTCTTCATGATTAGGTAGGCGAAGAATAGTGAAACAGCTTGTCCTCATTTGTTTCCCTGTTGCCTTGCATCAGGTATGAAGGTAATTCCTGATTGATTGCAATGTGATTCTTCTCATACAGAGAAAACCTGTCTAAACTAATAAGTATACAATTGCAACCCGGCCTTGCAAAGTCATTGCTTACCTGAAGCATAAAACATAACTGAGCTAAAAACCAAATTTAGAAAGAAAGTGAAATTGTGGAAGAAAACATTCAAGGAAAAGAAAGCATCAGAGGAGGACAGAGAAAGGGACTGCAATGGAGCCAGAGATCCTGCGTCTAATTGGGTTTGGATGTGTGTTCAGCATTGTTTCTGAAGATGTTACCCTGTCAACCAAAGAGGCAGAGGCACAAATGTGTGACTCTGTCGTGGTGTTGCCAGGAGATCTTTGTCTGTGTCCATGTCACACACAGAGAAAACTGGAGATGGAGGGGGTTGAATGAAAGGGAGTCAGAAAGTAAGGAAAGAAAGGAAAGGAAGGAGGACAAAAAGGCAGAAAAAGACAGGCCAAGACACCGAGGGGATAAAATGGAGAGCTGTATAACAACAATTTTGGGGGCAATTATATAATCCGTCATTAAGAGAAAAAAACATTCAAGTCAGTTCTCCAATCACACTTTAACACGTTAAATATCCAATGTTTAAAATAGTAACTGTATACTATCTTTGTCTCTCTCAGTCCACCAGAACTATGTGGGTACAGATGCAGAGAAGAATCCCTTCTACCTGTCAGTCGTCCTCTCAGACCAGAATAACCAGCGGGTTCCTCAGTACAGAGCCATCCTCTGGAGAAAGACGGTGAGTTCATCGTCTGCAAACCTCACAGCAGTGTTGGAAGAGGTACTCCAATACTTTACTTAAGTAAAGGTAGCAATACAACAATGTAAAAATACTCAATTACAAGTACAAGTTGTACATTCAGAATTATACTTAAAGGTCAGTTTAGAAGGATCTATTGTCAGAAATGGAATATAATATTCATAGGAATGTTTTCAATAGTTTATAATCATCTGAGGAATCGTGTTTTTCTTACCTTAGAATGAGCCATATTTATCTACAGATGCTGCGGGTCACCTTTTATGTAGTCCACCATGTCATGTCATGTTTCTACAGTAGCCCACAACGGAGAAACCAAACACTGGCTGTAGAAAAGGCCATTAGCGATTTCTGCAGAAGTTTCTCCCTCAACACTTGGAAGGGGAGGGTGAAGCGAGTGAGTTGCAATCTGCAACTACCCCTCTAGATGCCACTAAATCCTACACACTGGTCCTTCAAAGGTTTCCTGTGGAGTATTTGATCTCTAGTAGAGATATGGAGCAGTTTTTTTATGTATTACCTTCCTAACCTTATATAATGTTAACTTATGTATTAATACGTAAGCAGCATTTTACTGTAGTAGCTGGTTGTAGTGGAGCTACAGTTATACAATTTGACAGTTTAGTGCTTGGTCACAAGATAAATTTGAGGGGATCCTAACATTATTAATGGGATGTAAAAAAGAAAAGTTCTTCTACAAAAACTTATATACATTGTTTTTTTATGTATATTCATTGACTTTACTCTAATCTTGCTTTTTTTTAAAAATGGAATCACCTTTTTGATTCTTAAACAGGGCTCACAAGCCAAAGATGTTGGGAACCACAGGTTTAATCTTTAACAATTTATTGTATAATTGTACTGTACAAGTATAAAGTAGCATGAAATGGAAATGTTCAAGTAGAGCATAATTAGACTTGATGTACTTCTTACCCCAGACAGAAGGGAAGGTACTGAAACGTATACTGCACATCTGTGCTCATCTCAAATGTGAACATTTTCTACTGGAGTACACAGTCGTAGGTGGTACTTTGTCTGTGGTCTAAATATGAGAAAGCACAAAATGGGATCTTGAGGGACTGTGCTACTCCACTTTTGAGTCACTGTGTGTGTAGGTGTGTGTGTGTGTGTGTGTGAGATGCATGTTCGTTATTGTGTGTTTGTAGTATGGTGACTCAGCTTCATGGCCAAGATAGCTTGGATCTAATTTTGGCCTCCAGCCTCATCTGGAACCTGATTAGGGTCGTGCACCTCCGCTGCCTGATCACATTGATTTGTCTTGTTTCTGTGAGACTCTAACTGGTACAGGATGTTGTTGTTGTTGAACAGAACAACTTTGTTTGGCCTGAACTGCTCTGGTTTAATTTGGTCCTCTGTAATTATTCTATGACTGATTGAAAAAATATGATGTGCACTGTGAATTTATTTTGGGAAATAGTTTGCAGGACATTCTTAAGTGAACAAGTTTGAGCAAGTGACTCCTCGGAGAAAAGGTGATTGAAGCACATTGTGCTAAGAGTTTTTAATCCCTGATCTGTGTCATTCTTGTTCATTTAGGGCACTCTGAAGATCAGCCTCCCCTACAGCCCGACCAAAACACTATCAGTCAAGTCCATCCTAAGGTGAGAAAGGCAGCCTGGAGCTCTGAGCCAACACAGTTCATTCACTCTTTGATATCCATACATGTATGAGAATGAAATAATTTCACACTGCTGCTGAGACATAATGACTTCCATACAGTGTTGCCAGATGCCAAATGTCAGTTGCCTGACACCAAATTGCCCAATAAGAGCCTCAAATTCACCCATTTACCATAAAAGTAGGCAAATTATGCATGTCCACTGAGGACAACACACACAAGCACAAACAAAAATATACTAATAAATATGTTACACTGTTATTGGTATTAATCGATTAATAATTTTGACAGTAGTAGATAGTGGAAAATGTCCATATTTATATTGCTTGTTTTGTCCAGAAAGAACAGTTAACTATGATATATGACATAAAAATGGGTAAATCCTCACATTCTAAAAGCTGGAAGCAGAAGATGTTCAGCACTTTTGCTTGAAAATGATTAATTAGTAAATAGTTGCAGATTAATTTTCTGTCAATCAACTAATTGATTAATCGACTAATGCATCAGCTTCAGCCCTGTCATTTTCAATCATACTAAGTGACGAAGAGGAGTGCCAGATGAATAACAATGTTTTCTAACTTGGAACTTGGAAAATGGTACAAAAAGTTGCCCAAATCATCACAAGAGACCCTACTTTGTACTATTTTACCAACCAGTCATATAAAAATAGCCCAATTGCTCGGAAATTGTCCAATCTGGCAACGCTGTTTGCATAGTTTCTCTGCATATTTTACACCAGAACCTCACAAATTTTAGAAAGAGTTATATTATATAGTCATTCACATCTTCAATATTATGTTTCCAGTAGCAGATTTCATGAGTGACTAGTAACAGGATATAATGAGATGCGTGGAACAGGAGATTAGAAATTCCTCAGGCTGAGCGGCGTCACCATTCAAGCTCTGAATGAGTACAAATGGTATAAGCAGGTTGAGAAATCCCCTGTATCAAGTCTCCTGCTCATTTTTCTGTGTAACCCTTTGAGCTATTTGTCTTCCATCGATCCTTAACACCCCTTTCTCTCCTTTTTTCATTACTACTTCCTCCACCACCCCACCCCCCTTTCCTCGTCTTTTTACTCCCAGTGCAATGAACATGGACAGGTTTGAGAAAGGCCCCAGGGAGATCCTCAACCCGGATATTCAGAAGGTGAGAGTAACACCAGAGCATCAGCCAGCTCGTAATGAAATGTAGCACCAGTCCATTTCATGCCAGGCCTGATCAGCAGCATCTGAACTGTATTATATCCTCAGGCAATGTCATCTCTACCTGGAGTGCTGGTCAGTGTGAATGATAATTGTTATGTCCTCTTTCCTCAGGATCTGCTGGTGTTGGAGGAACAGGAGGTATGGGATAATACTGCTTCACAGTACAGTTTAGCTTATATTCTTGATTGCTTTTTGTAGAGGTCTTTTCAGTCACATACCCACATATCACAGCAGATTAAAGACTGAAAATTGGTGCCTTTACCGTTTGCATTTTTTACAATAGAAGCACTGTATGTCAAAAGAAAAAAAAATTAAATGCATGAATTGTAAATGATTTCATAATTTTAACTGTGTTAACAGGGTTCTGTCAACTTTAAATTTGGCGTCCTGTATGCCAAAGACGGACAGCTCACAGATGACGAGATGTTTAGCAACGGTAAATCCTTTTCATTCTCAACTTGTTTCAGTGTCTGCATTTATTCAGGGGGTATAGTTCAGCATTTTATTTGCTTTCTTGCCAGTCAGATGAGAAGAGCTTAGCATAAAGACTGGAAACAGCGAAAAGTCACTCGCCTGGTTCTGTATGAATGTAACAAACCTACCAGCACTTCTAAAACTCACTAGTTAACATGTTATATCTCATTTGTTTACTATGCCCAACCACGTTAACTGTTTCCCATCGTTCCCAGTCGTGCTAAGCTAAGCAAAGTCCTGTGTTTGTTTCAGAGACGGGGAGTGAGAGCTTCGACAAGTTTCTCAATCTGCTGGGGGATTCCATTACGCTGCAGGGATGGGCAGGTTATCGCGGAGGGCTAGACACCAAGAGTAAGAAATCTCACGTCTGCTGAATCATACTTATGCATACATTAACATCATTTTAAAGTAAACGGCTTTGAATATACCAATATTTCTCTGTCATTTTTCTGTTTCTGTCTCCTTTTACCTGCAGATGACACTACAGGAATTAAGTCCATCTACACAGTGTATCAGGGCCATGAGCTCATGTTCCATGTTTCCACCATGTTACCCTACTCTAAAGAGAACAAACAGCAGGTGGGCGTCTGTATGTGTAGTTGTGTGTCTTTGCTCTGTCACATAGTATTTATTATAGTATTTGTTATATATTCATAATATCTATACTACCAGATGGATTGACATGAAATTGGATACAGACATTCATTACACAGAGGATAGAGCCTACTGATGACTGACATCCTCTTGCACCACCAGCAGGTCACTTTCACTAATTCAAAGTATTCAAAGCATTCTGACTTTTGTATTTATCTCCAACACTTATATGGCTAATTACAACCTGACAGAGTTTCTAGTATGGGAGTAGACTTTTAGTATTGTGCAGTAATAATAATGGTAATGTTTACTCATCCACAAGAGACAGAAAACCACTTAGGTAGAAGGGAAGAGAAACAGCTGAAATTCTTTCTCCTCTTTCTGTACCTTCTGCATACTTCACTCATCTTTCACCTTCACCTCTTGCCACCAACTCTGCTCAAAAATTGAACCCCTCTTGCTGTGCTATACACTGTTATTAGAGAAACTGCAGAAAGTTTAATTGCACATCAGTCACAAGTCTTCATCTCTCTGTCATTTTGCAGAGAAAAGGCTGCACTTTAACAGTGTACTGATAGGAAGCTAGTACAATGGCAGCCAACTTGGCAAAATGTGCTCATTTTAGGAAGAAAGGGAGAAGAAAGGACATTATTGCTTTGGTGTAGAGCTCCATTCTGTAATGCCAATATTAGTGAGTATGATTTTAAAGGGCTGGTGCTTAGCAGATCTGACACATAATTGGATTTCTTCTTAAGATAAAAAAAAGACATTCAGGCGGTCAATAAAAAGGAACAGTCTGTGCTCGTACCACAACCAAGTTGTGGTGTTGTCTGTGTGTCTGAAGATTTTTGTGTGTATAGCCTCACTGGTCATGGGGCTAAAAAAGTTCATCCTGAGGGTAAAGCTGGAAGAAAAGATATGAACTGAATAAAATTAAAACGATTTATCCTCTTTGTAGCATGATTGTGCAGAGGTAATTGCAAAGCAGTCTGCCTCAAAGATAATCAAAACTGACATTTGGCCTGATTGTAGCACTAGAAGTGTCCACAGTAGAGATGTTTTATTAATTTTCTAGATATGTTATTATGAATCAAGGAGTTGATGGTGCTGCTCAAGAGGTTGTTGTTATTGAAAAAAAAAGAAAAATTGGATGGACACACATATCACGGGCCAAATAAATAAAATAGAAATAAAAAAAGAAAAATATATTAAATTGTCACTGACCTGGAGAGGATGTCTGGCAAAGATAACATAATAAAAAAGCAAAATAGAGATGGCGAAACACGTAGGTGAAACAGGAGTCTATAGTGCAGTAGATGTGCTCGATGTTGTTGCCTCTGAAGTTTTGAGATCAAAGAGTTGAAATTATCACCGCTCCTGAAAGTGTTTATGATGCTGAGAGCTTGGAAAATGTTTGCTATTAGAATTACACCCGCTTACACACACACACACACACACATACACACACACACACTTCCCATCATTGCAGCCTTACTCAGTACCTCATCAACAGAGTGATGCAGACTAATTAACTTTATAGCAGCTATAATTAATTTTTTTTGTTAACAGTGGATGAAATGGCTTCATGTAGTGTGAAAGGTGTCGCTCATAATGATGAACCCAAAGAGAATTATCATCCAACTCTATACCGATACCAGTATCAGGTATTGGGTCCGATACTGTGTTCATGTGCTGGTAATTTTAATCATAAAACTGCTCCCATACCACTTCACCGCAACCTTCCCACATCTGTTTCCTACCTTAGAAAATGTAAAAGTCAGCTGCTTTTATTTATTTTATATCATCTTAAATGCTATATTTTACAGGTTTTATATTGTTGGTCAGAAACAACAAGTAATCTGAAGATGCCTGTAAAGCCCAGAACACCCAATCCCCTGCACAACATTTCTTTTTCTTCCCTCAGCTATATGGAGCGTTTTAGCGTCTTTCGGCTCAGTTTCGGTTATACAGCCTGCAGCGTTACTGTTATGATTAAGTCTAACCGCTCGCATCGGTGTCGCTTTCGAACACTATAAATGGAGGTTTTACTAAGACCAGACGGAACCACTTACTACCTTCCCAGCACCAAACAAAGTTAGTAGCTAACTGGAGCAGCTAAATAGCCATCTGTCAACCAGTGATTTTCAAACTGTGAGGTGCAACTCCCTAGGTGGGGGGGTTATGTACGCTGATTTGGCCCGTGTAGCAACAAAGTCAACAGCAGCAGCAGCGCTGGCTGTGACAGACAGATCGTGAAGGTAATTAAGGTACTTAGCGCCCGATTGCCGCAATTTGCGTCAAACATCATACTCCTTCTTGGAGTTACACCTCAATCAAATTTAAACACACAGACATGATTCGTATATTTTTAGATTCAGCGTGACTTACAGTTCATCATTTTCTCTGATGTCACAAATACATTTCCATAAATCAGAGATAAATCTGTAAAAAGACGCTCCTTTTATCTGAAAGTTTTTAGTATCACAGTAGTGTCTAGTACATTCATGGGTATAGACAAACAGGAACTACTAATAGCTACTTCAGCATACTTTTAAAGGCCAAAATGAAAACAAATATAGGCTAAGAAAACAGGGCTCAAGTTGTAGCCCACAGCAATAACTCAATGAATCCATAGCAACAGGGCGTGTTGGGGGGGATTACTTGAAGCTCAGGGCAGTGAGGGGAAGTTGCTGGTTTTTCCTCATCTTGCATCTCTTTGGTCTTTTCTCTCTGGCAGGTGGAGAGAAAGAGACACATTGGAAATGACATTGTTACCATAGTATTCCAGGAAGGGGATGACGCATCGTCGTCCTTCAAACCGTCTATGATCAGATCGCACTTCACCCGTATCCTTCATGTGGACAATGACTGTCAGAGAAATGAAGTGGTAATCAGCAACATGAGCCATGTTCAGAGGAGCTTCAAATATTGAACAGATATCACGTCAGCCCTGTAACACTGAAGTGATATGAATCACTATTGTGTCTCCTGTATAAACGGTGTTTCCTTTACTTCACTACCAGATATTTTTGCATTAGTTAGGTATAATAGCCAGAATGACAGTTACAGGTGAGTGCTTTGATTAATGCTGTGGTTTATGGTGTTCCCATCTAGATGTTGACTTTCCCAACCTAAAAAACAAACTTTAATTCTGGCTGCTACGTCCTCTTAAATATTTGTGTGATGACCTTGATTAAAAAGAGCAGCTGGCTTTACTTTACCATACTGTGTTGCATGCTCTACACCGACTGTAAGTCATATATCTGCTCTCTGTCACAGGTTGAAGATATTCTCAGAGGAGAGTGTTCCACTGTTTGGACCCCCTCTCCCATCTCCGCCTGTATTTACTGATCACCACGAATTCAGGGACTTTTTATTAGTCAAATGTAAGCAAAAAACAAAGATATTTACATTACAGTTTGACCAATAAAGCTGTATTATCCCTATTTATTTTTTCTAATCTGCTTGATCTCCTGCAGTAATCAATGGAGAGAAAGCCACACTGGAGACGCCAACGTTTGCCCAGAAGCGTCAGCGGACCCTTGACATGTTGATCCGCTCGCTCTACCAAGACCTCATGCCTGACCTGCACAAGGTACCACCAGTCTAGTATTTATACTTGCTCTTGTCACTTCTTGGATGGACATTGTTTTTGGCTGTCCAAGTTGTCTCTTCTGTCTCCTCCTTGTCACTTCAGTCACTGGCAGTGACTGTAGCCACTGCTGTTCTGCTGTTTCCACTGCAGCCCTCAGTCTGCCTCTGCATACTGCACCACACCGGCTGGATACTACTGCAATGCTGACTTTCTCAGCAGGGCTCTCCCTCCTCCATCACTTTTGTTCTTATTTCCCTTGTCCCCCCCCCCCCGCCTTTCACTGTTGCTCCTAACACGACTTAGTCCTCACTGTGTTTCACTGCTGCTGTTCTCACCCCCTGCCAGGGTCAATCTCTAAGACCCCTTTCTGCTTTCTTTTTTCCTCTATGTGTGTGTGTGTGTGGTTGTCGTGTTGCTGGTGTGGATGTGTGCTGTGTCGTGTGTTGTGTGGTTGGTGTTTCCCAGTGTTTAGGGTTCCTTTTCGTCTCCCTCAGGAACATTTGCTTAATACCGCGTCCTTCCAGCGATGCGTGGCTGCCTGGGAGCTCTCCAAAGTCGGCTACGCCGAACGAAGGACGGAGGCACGGCAGGGCTGAATTTTGCTCAGACTAGGGCAGGTAATGAATTAATTAAACACCCATGTACACACACACATACACACCCAGACAAAGGTGGGCACACACAAACAGCATACATGGACAAACACACCTGATCACCTAAGAAACCTAGACACACATGCACACGTAAACGCAGATGTTGATTGGCTGTACAGTATGTACATTGAAGGTCAGTCAGATTTAGTGTTTCTCAGTGAAACATAGAGGGAATTATATGCTAAAAAGACTATAACTTTGGAAGATTTTTTTGGCTTAAGACTGATTAGCTTCAGTTAAATTCAGTGTATTTCTGCACAGAACAAGGGCTGTGGATTTTGACCCCCATCACTGACATTAGAATTGCATCAGGAAGGGATCTCTTGATACTGGCACCTGACTCTTGTTTTAAGACAGACTTTCGACACTGGGAGACCTGTGACCAAGGTAGAAATGATTCAAGCTCATGTTCAAGCAGACTGGCAGCATTTAAAAAGTTAGGAAAAGGAGACTTTGACAAGATTCCTTGATAGATAACTGATATGTTCTGATAGACAACTGTTGTATTTGCCTCTTTACTACAAATATAGCTGTGCTTTGAGACCGGTATCTTATTTTTGACTGATTCTGGAATCTTTTTTAGGACAATATTAATTGTAAATTAAAATATGTATCAAATAATTATGTTAGTGGGCAGTACCTTTTCCCAGCCCTGAGTAGTGTCTGCAGATATTCATTTCAATCTGTATACTGCCCCAACAACCTCCAGCAATAAGGCTGCTCATAGCCTGGAGCTGCTGCTGCTTCTCATTAAGCTCTTTGCTTTGAGCGCACGGTAATAATTGAAGGCGACTTAGATGAGTGTATCAGTGACATGCCCCCTGCTCCATCCCCAATGGAAATGAAGCCCCTGTATGTCATACAATCAACTTGTTTGGCTGCACAGTAGTGTAATTAAAAACAAAAGGAATAATTGAAAGAGTGATGTATGTTTTACTTTCCACACACAGAAATACATATCCAACACAGATATGTTACGCAGGTAGGTATAAAAAAGTAATGATTACTTTTTACAGGCATACAAGAGGCATAAAACCAGAATGTATACAAATTATATTATTGGGGGCATTTAATATCGCAACTCGCTTCTACTGAACACTTTATAGCAAAAGGTACAGAATTACTGCTCAAATGACAGAGAATATATTTTTGAAATGTTACAGTGCATGGATGATGTTATACTGGTTTTTGATCAGTTTCTATAGTGAAGAACACTTCAGATTTCAGCTGTAATGGGGTGCTTAATTCACAATGAGGCGGTGCATTTTTTGTAAGCCGTATACACTCTTATCTGCCAAAGCCAGCGCAATTTTCAATTCTGACACAATAATGAGCCAAATAGAAAAACTGTGATTCTAGTAGAAGTGATGTAAATCTTTAAAAACTAGCCTCTCTCAGATCTGTGACTCTTTGTACTACGATAAAGTCTTTTAAAAGCTGTAAGTCCTGACAGACTGAGTGAACTGGACAGCTGCTTTCAGGAGGGTCAGGACCGAATAATAAGTACAATTCAGTAGTTATTACGGTGCTGATGTAATCATCATTACACCTCTGTTCTGGGTGTTGATATAACTATAATTATACAGGAACAAAGTCTGAAAACACAAAGAAGAAAAGTGTATAAAAAAAGTGTCCACTGCTGAACCTATATTTTTTTCTGCCATTATAGAAATCATTTGTTTCAGGTTATTTTTGAGATAATAGATATTCTTTGGACTAATGCCTAACTAATAATAATGTTTTGATGTGATATACTGTATATGATGATGTTGCTGAGAGTCTTAAACTAAATGAAATATGTTTCAATTGTGCCCTAAAGCCCCAAGGAAACTGTGTCTGTGAATAGAGTCTTAGTAAGGCAGAGAAATATCATATAAGTGCAATGAATCAGAAATTGTTCTTAATAGTCATTTTACAGTCACAAATCAAATGCAATCCAAAATGTGTTCCTATTTTTTAATAACAGTGAGACAGTCACCCTTGTCTTCATCATCACTCCACTAGGTTGCTGAGGCTTATTTCACTCATGTTGTGTGAAACAAACTGTTAGAAGCAATTGTCGGCACCTTTTTTGAATTGGTTCTAAAGATACATGTTTATCCAACTGAGGTATTTCTTCCTGCCTTGTTTCCTTTGTTTGTCATCTTCATTTGCTAACCCTTCCTCTTTGTGTTACTGTTTGTGTTTTCTACCTTGTTTGTCTTGTTTCTGTCGCTCTCTGCTCATAAACACAAAGCCGAGGCATCGACATATTGCGTTGTAAAGCATGAAAACAAAGAAAGGTAGAAGTGTTGAGTCACTGATTGTCCACTCTTGTAGAGACATGGCGTTGGTCCTAAACTAAACTGACTCTCTGTATGCTTACTCATTGTGTGATGCACATTATATGATATGATTTTGTGTTGTCATCTTTTCCCACGAATAGCAGAGTACGCTGCACAGCCAAGCCATTGTACTACTGCTTGATATTGATTTCATTATCTCCAGACTGCCTGTTTATGCAGATATGTAAATAGAAACGCCTGACTGTGCAGCTTGGATTGGAAATTGTCAATCTGATCGCTTGAGCATTTGTGCGAACTATATTCTATTTGAAATTCGAAGCAATTACACTTTGTATTTAATGTGAGTTTTTTTACTGTTGCCAGTCTGCTTGTCCAAATCATTTCCACCTCTGTGAGACCAGACCACCACAGTTCTCCGTGCCTAAATAAGCATGGAAACAATGGCAGGCTGGTTATATATCAATGATGGAAAACAAGGTGCATAATTCAGCAAGCCCAGACCACCGCTGTCCTTCTTATAACTAATTGATATGCATGATTCACATGCAGTACAGGCTCCTTTATCCCATGCAGGTTCTGTTATTTAAATGTCTTGTACAGACATTGTAAAATTATCAAGCACATAATTTAGTGAGACATATTGAACAATCCAGCAGTGATGCAAAGTAGTGAGAGTGCACTGTACTATACTTGGGTACAAATTTGAGGTACTGTTACTTTTGACATTTTAAGTACATTTTGCTGATAACATTGCTGTACTTTTACTTCAGTATAATTTTGAATGCAGGACTTTTCTAGTACCATTCTTTTATCTATATAGAGCAGCATAACCACTGTATTTTTTCACAGTTACATTGGTGCTTATACTTTAATAAATGATCTGAGTACTTCTTCCAGCACTGCAAGCCAAAAAACTGACAGACGTCTCTGTCATGTGTCATATCTTTGATGCCATTTCATCTTTAGGCTCTGAAGCTGAAGACCATTGTCAGAGGAGATGCCCCAACTAGCCTTGTTACCACAGGCCTGTGCAGAAAAGAGGTGAGGTGCACAAAATCTTCATCTTAACAAGTCATGTAATTTTTTGCTGATTTCAACCATGGTATTTTATTTAAACAGTTCAAAGAAAATTTGATTCCTTTTTTAAAATATTTTCAAATCACTAATTTCACATAGCTAACTTTTTCATAGTCAACAAGTAGAGGCCAACCGTGTATCCATATTTGATAGTTTAAAATATCTGCCAACAATATATATATAGGAGAGATATTCTTTTTTCTGTCTTTTACATAAACACACATTCTTTATTAAGATCTCTTATTAACCAACCAATTGTGACCAAGATATGAGCTATGCCAAAGCTACCTCAAACATGTCTTTGGCATCTTTATACTCTCTCTGAGCCGTAACATTATGACCACTGACTGGTAAAGTGACACTAATCACAACACTGGTTATCATGGCTCCTGTCAATGGGTGGGATATATTAGGCAGCAAGTGAACATTTTGTCCTCAAGCTGATATGTTAGAAGCAGGAAAAATGGGCAGCGTGAGGATTTGATCGACTTTGACAAGGGCCAAATTGTGATGGCTAGACAACTGGGTCAGAGCATCTCCCAAAAACTGCAGGCTCTCGGGTGTGGGTGCTTCCGCTCTTTTCAGTGGGTCACGTACTATCACAAAAGTGATCCAAGAAGGAAAAAGCGATGAACTAGAGACAGGGTCATGGCTCATTGATGCACATGGAGAGTGAAGGCTGGCCCGTGTGGTCCGATCCAACAGACGAGCTACTGTAGCTCAAATTGTTAAAAAAAGTTAATGCTGGTTCTGATAGAAAGGTGTCAGGACACATGCATCGCAGTTTCTTGCATATGGAGCTGTATAACATTATTACCACCAGGGTTCCCAGGTGGTGATAATGTTGTGGCTGATCGGTATATATGCCAGTACTGATATATCTGCCGATTGGTGAGGCTCTAGAATCAAGTATTGTTATTTAATTTAATTTTCTCATTGTTGTCTTGATATTACAGCAGCAAACCTGCCTGATTTAACTTACTATTAGTTGATAAAAATGCACAGAGAATAAGTGGATTTATCTCACTTTATCGACTTAACTTGCAGAACTTGTTTTAAGAAAATAAGTCTTAAAAGATAAACACTAGCTTAAATGTATTTAAGTGTGTAAATGGCTTGCCACATCCATTCATTTTGGTGTTAAAGAGTTTTTTTTTAATATTCTGCCAAAGCAAGTTGATATTAATTCCAAGATATCTGTCTCTGTGTATATCTACATGTGTTTGTATGTGCATGGACGCTGCAGCCATGGGAGTCCCAGCCGTTCTGCAGCACATTCCCCTATGAGATCGTGTGTGCTGACTCCTGGGGTCAGTCTCTGCTGGCCGCCACCGACGCAGCGGGAGTCATGCTGCTGGATGGTGAGGTCATCCCTAATCGATATCTCCCTATGTCCTCTAAAATAAATCCACCCATCCATATCCATTCAATACTGCGCTCAGCAGAATGCCAAGACCAACAGCTAACATGATGATGATAATGATGTTGTGCACGTTTCAGGCCCTGATCCAGCTTTGCCCAACGCTGGTGAGTGCCACGAACCTTCCTGTTTCTTGCTCAGAGGATTTTTTTTACATTTTTTACAAATATTGCAACCTCAATTATGACATATTTGTCAGCGTTCAATCATCTTTTTATTTTGATGTATGCGTTGTGTTTCAGAGACACAAGCTTTGCCCCCAGTGCAGGTGTTTGACAAAACCATGGTGGTGAAGCAGATGCACGTTCTCGAGCCTCAGGACCTGCTTATCACCAGGGCTGACAAAGGTAGGCTTAGACTACAAGCAGAAAGGAGGATATTGGTTAACACCCCTCCCTGCACATTAGACACTGCTTCCCCATGAACCATCCTTCATCATCCACTCATTCTTTTTTTTTTTTGCAGTAGAACAGTATTTACAGCACATCTCCTTTCTCATTAATCACATTCCTTTCTCTTATTTCACCTCTGACATCTCTGCCTGTGTTTTTGAGTACATATTTACCCTTTCCACCTCCATTGGCTCAGTGAACACATTGATCTTTAGCTGTGATCTAAAGCAGCTGACCTATAGAGAGCCAATCCCTGTCAAGGTTTTGTGTGTGTATGTGTGTGTGTGTGTGTATAAGTGAGTGTGTGTCTGTTTATCCTGCAGGACTAGATTGTGTGTAGTGGCCTATAAAGGACTGACAGATATGCAGACAGATACAGATATAAAGAAACCTACACGCATAAAAAGCACAAACAGTATATACAAGAAGTCACTGTGCACTAACAAACAGCTGTAGGATTCGTCTCATGTTTGCCTTAACCAGAAGAGCATGTAATTAATTACCATGCAAATGATTAGCTAACCCTAATATTGACAAACAGGGTTGACTCGGTTTTGATAGTGATTATGTGATGGCAGCGCAAACATTTGTCACGACTGTGTGTGGGCTTTGATAAAGCTTCTGAAAGAGCACGAGCCTTAAGAAGCCTTCTAGTAATCCTCCCACAGTACAACACCATTGTCTGGCCGTGGGAGGATGCTAAAAAAGAGATGGCAAATTAAGAGTAACCTTCATGCAAAACAGACGTGGCTTTTGTTTTTGTTTCCAGGAAAGGACGCTCGGCTCTATGTGTTCAGACTCAGCTTGCTCAAGAGAGGCCTGGAGGAGAAGCAGCTCGTCAGAAGCAAGTGTGACAGCCGGGAGAATAAACTGGAGAAAACTAAAGGTACAACACCATGTAACCTGGCAAAGTAAAGTTTAATAGTCTAATGCAAATGCTTCACAAGATTATGTATATGTGATAAGAAAAATATCTTTTAATCAGCCTAAAGCAGGATATAGTAAATGCCCTTTTTGCAAACACACATCATTTGACCTGCCGCTAGGTCATGCCAGCTGTCTGTGGTGGATGCATTGATCTGTGGGATGATGCCAGGAAAAACACCTACAGCACAACACATGTCCAATATACTCTGTATCTCCATCTCCACGCCTGCCTCCCCTCCTCCCTTTTTGTCCCAGGCTGTCATTTGTACTCTATCAACACCCACCACGGCTCAGAGCTGAGGATAGTAGCAGCCATCAGGAACAAACTCCTCCTCATCACCAGGAAACATCCCCGTTTTGAAGGTTTCAGCGCCATCGCCCCTGGAGCGGACTCACCGGTGGAGGAGTTTCAGTACATACGGGTACAACGAGTTCTAAATGAATTAATGAAAAAATAATAATAAATAAATTGATAGAAAGTCACAATCAATTGGTGAATGAAAGCTGCTTTCTCATAAGAAGATATTAGATTTCCCTTATTTTTATGTCTGCATGCTGTAGCTGGGGTTATTAAAGGTCTGATATAGAAATACTGAATGAAGTGAAAGAGACAGGTACATGCAGGTGTTAAAAACAAAGGGGAAGATACTTATTGCATTTGGCCCGCTTACTAACATGGTTAACAGTTGGAGCTGCAGCAGAGACACAGCTCATGGAGGCAGTTTAAGTACATTAATTGCCCCAAATTTGCATAAATCTTCTCTTCTCAGAGTCAAATCAAGTCAACACACAGACACAATACACAGATTTTCACACACATTCCGTTTGACTTACACTTTCCGAGGATCCTCATCGCATCAACATCCAACAAATAAGTTATAAATCAGACAAAATAAGCTCCTTAAAACTTCAGCCTGTTTTTAAGTTATATTTGTCTGTGCATCCATATGTACATTACAAAAAGGAACGGCTAATAGGTAATTTGACATACTTTTAATGGTGTCAGTTCAAAATGTAAACGAAAACAGGCTAAAAGAACAGGGTTCAAATTATAACATAGACTGTGAACATATAAATATATGGGCTGTCTGTATGTACTATCTTTAGAATATCACAATAAAAATCATTGTGTAATAATAAGAGTGAAAGAGAGTGAAGAAATTAACTTTTTTCATTATATACATATGTATTTTTAACGTAACTGAGACTGTGACATGGAGAGGTGAAGATCAATGTATTACACACAGACAAACCTATCAGTCTATTAAAGAAATTAAACCAGGTTATTGTGTACTGTCCCCCATTAGGAGATCTGTCTGTGTGACCCGCCGGTGGTGATGGCGCTGGTGGACGGGCCGACGGGGGAAAATGACAATATGATCTGTGTTGCCTACAAACATCAGTTTGACCTGATCAATGAGAGCACTGGAGATGCCTACCGGCTACATCATGTAGACGCCAACAGGGTGAGGCACACTAGCACGCACATACACGCATGCATGCAAACCCTGGTGGTTTTCTACCTTTTTTTTTTTTCTTTTTCTAAAATTTGCTTTCACGTGACATTCACTGAAGTTGAGCAGAACTGAGATCTTCAGTTGGGCCAGTTAGTCGCTTTATTTACTTGCTAATTACCAGGCTGTTTGGGTGAATCAACATGTTGTCATTCACAGCCACCAGCTGTGGCGGAGAGGGAGGGGAAATGAATGACTAGGCTGGAGAATTAACAGCTGTTCTAATTTAACCATATTCTGCTTTAACCATCTCTCCTTTGAATGAGCAACCAACATAAGTAACTGTTGTAGAAATCGATCTTTTCTATTGCCTGGATGATTACCCAGTGCCCTGTGGATATGTGACATGGCATTATTTGTAAAAAACGATCTATCATATCTGATCTTTGGATCTCGTTGAAATGATTCTACTAAACTTACTCGTCTCTGCCTGCAGGTAAATTTTGTAGCAGCCATTGATGTGTATGAAGACGGGGAGGCAGGTCTGCTGTTGTGTTACAACTGTGAGTCTCCCTTAAACCCTGAACATTTCAGATGTTATTTGATTCAGGTCTCTGTCTTTGCTGTTGAAGCCATAATGTTTTCCCTCTGCTACCGTGCCTTCCTGGAATAAAAATCACAGCACAGACTGCTCTTGAATATTAAGAGTCAGAGATGAATTATGAAAATGCAACCATCTACTTTATCTTTTGTCTGCTATGTTTTATGTCTGGATAATAGGACAAATAGCTCTAAAAAATCTCTGAATTACAATAAAATGCTCTCAGTCTTTGTTCCAAACACAGACAAAAAAATGACAGTAAACAGAGAGTAAATAATTTAATTTAAAAGTTGAACCTTTTTCCTCTCTCTCTTACAGATATTTGTTACTATAAGAAAGTTTGTCCGTTTAACGGCTCCACGCCGATGATCCAGTCCAACACCTCCGACTTCCACTTCAGCTGGAACCAGATGCCCAATGCTATTGGTAGGTTACCACGGCAACAACACTTGGGCCCCACCCTGCCCATGCTGCTGGCCTGGCCGGAGCTTGCTGTCACCATGGAAACACCATGTGTAGCCACAAGCATCCAATTGGTCTATGTGATTATTTGTGTTTCTGTGTGT